AAAAAAAAAAAAAAAAAATTTTTAAAACTTAGCCAAGCATAGCGGTGCACACCTATAGTCCCAGCTGAGGTGGGAAGATTATTTCAGTGCAGGAGTTCAAGGTTGCCATGAGCCATAATTGGGATGCTCCACTCTAGCCTGGACAACAGAGTGAGAGTCCCAGCTCTTTGTTTTTTTGTTTTGTTTTGTTTGTTTTTTGAGATGGAGTATTGCTCTGTCGCCAGGCTGGAGTGCAGTGGCGCGATCTCAGCTCACTGCAACTTCTGCCTCCTGGGTTCAAGTGATTCTCCTGCCTCAGCCTTCTGAGTAGCTGGGATTATAGGTGCACACCACCGGACCCACCTAATTTTTGTATTTTCAGTAGAATGGGGTTTTATCATGTTGGCCCAGATGGTCTTGATCTTCCGACCTCAGGTGATCTGCCCACCTTGGCCTCCCAAAGTGCTGGGATTACAAGGATTACAGGTGTGAGCCACTGCATCTGGCCAAGACTCCCAACGCTTAAAAAAAAAGATGTGGGGTTCAGTGGCTCATGACTATAATCCCAAGGTAGGCGGATCACCTGAGGTTAGGAGTTCGAGACCAGCCTAGCCAACATGGTGAAACTCCATTCTCTACTAAAAATACAAAAGTTAGCCAGGTGTGGTCGTGCCTGCCTATAATCCCAGCTACTCTGTAGGCAGAGGCAGGAGAATAACTTGAACCTAGGAGGCAGAGGTTGCAGTGAGCTGAGATCATATCACTGCACTCTATCCCTGGCAACAGAGTGAGACTCTGTCTCCAAAAACAAACCAGCAAACAAATAAACAAAACCTGATGGGATGGATGTAAAGTTAAGCAAGCTTATCTGGATTTCCCATCACAGGGTCTTTGTATTCACTTATTTGATAATAATAATTCAGAAGATGCAATCTCAGCTGAACAAGCAGTAATTCAGTTTCAGAACATTTCTCTCTCCAACAAGGTGCATTTCTCCCTCTGGCACTCATTGTATGAATCTGAACTCTTTCCCTCTCACTTACAGGTCTCTTCTATGTATTTCCCAGGTCGGCTGGCATAGTCATCTTAGAATAGCCCCCAAATGTGGAATTTCTGTTCTCAGGAGTCATCATTTCCAGTATGAAATTCACTGAGTGACAGAAAACGAAGACTAAAGATCAAAGATTGCTAGATTAATTTGCCTAAAACCAATTCACCTAAAGCCAATTAGTCTAAAATAAATATTTATCAAATCTGCAGCATTTCAAAAGGATTTAGCAGATTCACCCTTTTACTTTTTATTACTGTTGTCTGTATAACCTTTAATTGTAAGTCAACTGAATATGCCTCATGCCTATTTAAGATATACTGGCATTTTAATAGTAGGAATGTAGAAGTTAGACCAAAGCATCGAAATCACATTGAACTCCATTACATTTTTCAAGGCATTTAATTTGTAAAGGAATATTGGATTAAGAAACAAAAAAAAATGATACACAAAATGTCTGCACCAATTATATTTATTGCTAGAAACTTTAAACTTTTCAAAAAAGTTTTTGAAAAGTAGATAACATAGAAAAAGACATCCATAAAGGTAAGAAGCAATCTCATCATTCACAAAGTGCTGCAAATTTGATAAATTTATGTTGCTGCTAATAACTTGGAAGTACTCTTGGATGAGTAGATATAAATCCTTGAAATACCCAAAGCATGACAAAAAATAGTAGGACACCTAAATGGATACAAACACACCAAAATAGGAATTGAGCTTTTGGTAAATTAGTCATTAAGTCATTCACTTTAAGCAAACAAGTTTTCAGTAAATTGGTTTTAAGAGATCTAGCTTTAGGTGAACTAATTTCAGGCAAACTGACTAGTACCAAACCAGTGTTTTGCTCCCTCCAGTTCCCCCCAACTCTAGTTTTGGGATTGTGATGGACACAAGCTGGGGCCACTCTGAGAGGTGGCAGGTGAGCTACTACTAGGAAACTAAGTATAAGAGTGACCTGAGAAGAGAGTAAGAGTGTGAGTGTGTGTGTGTGTGTGTGTGTGCATGAACACACCCATTACCTCCCCCAGCCAAGGAGAAGAGCAACCAAGTACAAGCACTCACCTAGCCTCCCCAGACCCACGTGAGTCCCTGAGAAACAAGGAATACAGGCAGCAAGCCCACTCAGAGCTGGTCCCCATTCTCAGCAGATAGATGAGGAGCTCTCCTAGTCCTTAGAAGAAGGCCAAGAAATAACTCGTTAATGAGGTTCAGAGTTTCTACCTCTTTACCCAGATACAGGTGCTTATGGTGGTAAGTACCTGGAAGACACCCTATCTGACACCATGTGTCACAAAAAAGTGAGGAGCTTAAATTTGGTTGCCTAGCAGGACCTCACCACCCTAGAATTGCCACCTCTCAGAGGGGTCCCACACTGCATCAACCACAACCCCAAAACTCTGGGGTTTGGGGGGCTGAAGGGAGCAATACAGTTTGATTTGTTTCTAGTCAGTTTCATTGAAACTAGTTGATTTAAAGCTAGGTCCTCTACTCTTGGAATCTGGGACCAGAACATTGCATGATTCATAAACAATCACATACTAGGCCAGACACAGTGGCTGACACCTGTAATCCCAGCACTTTGGAAGGCCAAGGTGGGAGGATCGCTTGAGCCCAGGAATTCAAGACTAGCCCTGGCAACATGGTGAGATCCCATCTCTAAAACAAACAAACAAACAATATATATATATATATATATATATATATATACTGAAGATACAGAATCAGATGTTGAGAAAGTACTGGAACCCTCCTGTGTGTACCTAAGTTCAGGCTGCACACATGGAAAAAAGGCCAGTCACCCCCACCCTGGTAAATATAAAGTTTCTCCTCCACAATCCATTTGGAATGTCATGATCTTTGGGTCTCTGGCCTTGGGGTCCTCCCCAGAGGACTCTTCTGCCAGGCCTGTAGAGTGCATTATTTGCCTTGGCTGGCCTCAGAGGGGCCCACTGGCCAGAGCAGTTTGTCAGCGGTGGTGACGGCAGCAGCAGTGACTGAAGCTCAGATATAGTTGGCAGGGGGCTGTCGGGCATTGAGCCGCTGCATGTGGCAGCCATGGCAGAGCAAGTGCCCATCCAGAGGGAAACAGCAGCAGCCTTCCTCATCACTCAGCTGCATCCGGCAGTCCTAGGGAAGAAGGTACCTAATTCACCTCAGCCCAGGCGCCTTGGACACTGAGGGCATCTTAGGAGTCTGCCCTGCTCAACACCTGACTCCTAGTAACTGGAAGAAATGATTAGGGAGGGAAGGTCGGAAGGGATGGAAGAGCAATCTGAGAAAATATTGATACCTCAGCTGGACACCAGGTGTCGCTGCTGCAGCAGAAATATTGACACAAGCCTGTCTTTACAGCAGTTTAACCAGAGACCCTAGCCTTAGAAAGTCCTGGCTCTGGGAGAGTAAGATTCAGATTCAGAAAGGACTAAGCAACTGGGACCAGAGAGAGTGGCTGGAGGACAAGAAAGAGACTGAAGATAGGTCACGGTACCTCTCTGGTTTCCCATGCCCTCCACCTCTTCCCAAGATATCTGGTTGTTGTAGGACTTGACTCCTCCCCTCTCCCCAATTCCACTTCCCCTCCAGCACTTCTGAACCCCAACACTCACCTCACAGTGGTAGCACTCAAAGTGATAATCCCGGTCCATGGATATCACCCTCACGATGTCCTCACAGCCCTGAAACATGCAGATTCCCATGGGGATGAGAGCAGCATGTTGCCTCACCTCTACCCTTCCCCCATATACAGCCCCTCCCACCCCATGGGATCACACAAATGTCCTAGAGCCTCTCTGCAATCACCTGTAGCTTTAAGATGCCTCTGCAAGGGGCGGGCGGGGTTAAAAAAAAAAAAAAATGCCTCTGCAAATCCCACCAGAACTCTCCTCATCTCTTTCACTGGGCTGCCCCCATCTGTGCAAGAGTACTGGCCTTACCTAAGTCTTCCAGTTGTGGGGGAAGCAAAGGGAAGGGAAAGGGACAGGAGGCATAAATAAAGTAGGCTAGGCTGGGAACAAGGGGATCCAACAATATATGGTCCTCACCGGCTTTGGCTTCTCTCCATAGGCACATCCTGTACACACAGCTTAAATCATTTCCAACCCCCTCCTGCCAGTATTGAGGATTCTTCCCACCTTTTTCCAGCCCCTACATCTACAGTCTGGAGACCTCAACCTCAGAGAAAGTCTCCTCCTCTGGACTGAGACAGACGATATGGAGCCTGGGCCCAATTTGGCTTTCAGACATGTCCAGGCCCGGATGTTAGGGTCAGGGTGGTGACCCCAAGAGGCAGAGTCACACGGGAATCTTCAGAGTACATTCCTCGGCACTATCACTTCCGGCGGGAGGCTGGGCAGCACGTCCCTATTCCCTCCCCAGAGACAGTGGCACTGGCTGTCCTGAAGGAGAACCCAGACAAACTGACCTCAGAGGGGAGGATGGGTTGGCCACAGGCTGCACACTTAGGAGCATAATTTCTGAAAGAGAGAGGGCAGAGATGAGCTCAGGTTGGGGGAGCCCTGGACCCAGTTCCACACTGCATCCCAAGGGGTGGACTCACTTGTGGTAGTCGGTGACACAGTACACTTGGTTGGAGAAGTCCACTGTGAAGGGGATGCCATCCAGGCACTTGTTGCAAACAATGCATCGGAAACAGCCTGGGTGATAGGACTTCCCCATTGCCTGTAGGATCTGGCTCATGGGGTAGCAAGAGAATCAGTCTCCCTCCAGTCCCAGCTCTCCAGCTGCCCACTGTGCTCCTTACTATCCCATTAACCTCACCAAACCCCTGTTATCCTCCTAGAACAATGCTATGTAATGTGGGGGAAGTAAGAAGTTTTAAAATGGAGGCAGAAACCCTGAAAAATGCCTGAGAGAACATTCAGTCCAGTAGTTTTTAACCCTGGCTGCCTATCAGGATCACCTAGGGAGCTTTTAAAAAACATCAATGCTTTGGCCCTTCTCCAGACCTATTATCACAATCTCTGGTGATGGGATCCAAACACTGTATTTTTTTTTAGTTCTTCCCAGCTGATATGCTAGGCTACCATGACTGAGAATCGCTGATTTAATCCAATCTCTCTTTTTCTGCAGAAAAGAAAACTAAGTCTCAAGTGATTCTAACCAGTAGCAGAAAGGGGATGAAGACTCAGGACCCCAGGCCAGGCACAGTGGCTGATACCTGTAATCTAGCACTCTGGGAGGCTGAAACAGGAGGATCACTTGAGGCCAGGAATTCGAGATCAGCTTGGCCAACGTGGCAAAACTCCATCTCTACTAAATATGCAAAAATTAACCAGGCATGGTGGCGCGTGCCTGTAGTCCTAGCTACTCGGGAAGCTGAGGAACTAGAATCGCTTGAACCTGGGAGGTGGAAGTTGCAGTGAGTTGAGATCATGCCACTGTGTCGGAGTGAGATGCTGTCTCAAAAAAAAAAAAAAAGATGCAAGACCCCACACTCCTAGCTCAGGCTGGAAGGCCTGGCTGTGCCTGCAGTGTTAGGGAGGGGCCAGGTCACAGAAGCCTGGGACGACAAGCTTTGGAGCCCAGACTTGATCCCAAAGGCAGAGGGAAGCCACTGTAAACAGTTGCTCTGGGGAGGAATGGGATGAAAGGCTTCTTCCCTCAACCTTCTCTCAGTACCCATTTAGTCCCTGATTCTACTTCTCAGCTGCAGGCACTTTACTTACCTTCTCCAAAATCAAGTGACCACAGACACAGCATTTCTCAGCTGCCTCCTGAAACCCTGAAAACTAAAGTAAAAGACAAGACAAAGGGAGGCTGTTATCAAACTGAGGATGATGGGTGGAACTCCAATAGGCCACCAAGAAGGGGGTCAGGATGGAAACCAATTCCAGGTCCAGGTGACCCTTACTCACCAGATAATCTTCCTCACAGTACACAGAACCATTGACACTGTAGAAAGCCTTGCAACGCAAAGTTCGTCCTAGAAACAGCAGAGAAGGGGCTGGAACCTATCCCATAGCCCAGGTGCAAGACTTCTCCCACTCTGGAGTCCCTGCTCCCCAATGCTGCATAATATTTTTCAACCTGGACTTTGTGCTTGTCCTCCTTACTGCTGTCTATCCTTCTTCCCCACACAAAAATTCCATCTGATGCAATTCCAATTTGCTTTGGCTTCATTCCAGCCAACTTCCCCTCTCCTCTCCTCTGCTTGTGGCTCCTCCAGATCCTGCCTCCTCAACAGTTTCCTAGGGCCCTCCCCTAACAACCCTCCCCTAAACAAACTGCCTTCCTCTCCAGTGCATAGGAAGCCACCTGGGAGAAGCCAACCACATGCTGAAATACATGATAAAGGAGCTCTTAATAAGGTGCCATATGATTTGCATAGAGAGAATCACATTGTTACAGGCCTTGCCCTCTGGGATCCTTCAACCTAGAAGCCTCTTTGTCTATATCCTGCTCTCAGAGCCCTATCTCCTTCCATGGACAGACTCCACGGAGGTGAGGACTGGAGTTACTGCAGGAGGACAAAGTGCTTGGTTTGGAAGCAAAGCAGGTCCCCTTTCCTGTTTGTATGAGGCTGCTTCCCTAAGCTTGGAGGGACCCAGAATCTCTGGGGTAAGGGGCAACACAGGATCTTCTTCTAGCAGACAAGGCAGGACCATTCCCCATGTGACCAACACCCAGGAACTGCTCCCAGGTGTCTAAATTGTCAGGGATGGGGGAGGAGTGAGAACAGGTGGAGCATGAGCAATTTTCCCACCTTTGCCTTCTTCCCATTAAAATCCCCACCTCCAGCTGTGTCCAGTGGGTTAGGAAAGCTGACTTAGATGCTCATGAGACACAGGGGAGGAAAGACAGGGAAAGAGATATAGTTAGAAGAGGCCCTATAAACAGAAGGATAGACAGAGATGAGCCTAAAAACCAGGCAGAAACTGGGGGAGTGAGAAAAGCTGAGTGCTGGAGTCGGACAGGCAGATAGGAGATTAAAGGTTTAGCAAAGGAATCAGAATGGGTAAGCAGTGGGGAGGAGGTAATGAGGGAGGTGAGGGGGGGCAGTTAAGGCCGCTGGGAGCATCCCCCCTTCCCAAGTGGGCCTCCTGAGCTAACAGTGGCAGGCATTCCTGGAGCGTGATGTCATTAGCTTGGCATGGCCTGGTGGCCTGCACTCTAGTGAGGTGGCTGAACTCTGACCAGCCAAGAGAAAACCCCCCTCTCCGCCCCCGACAGCTTCCCACTCCCCCAGCCTGCCCCCGCCCTCCCTACATTCCAGTCTTTCACGGTCGCCCCAGGCAACTTGGCTGCCCAAGACCAAGCCCCACCAAGAAGCTGGAGGGCCAGGCGAGTCCAGGATGGGCAAGCAGGGAGGCACGAGGGAGAAACAGAGGTGAGGAAGGAAGGAGGGACTCTAGAAAGGAGACCCACCATGGGGCAGAGAGAGCCAGGTAGAGCGTAGACAGGGAAGCAAGAGAGAAAGAGCAGCTGCAGACCTCTAGATACTTGGTGGGGATCCAACAGCTGCTCTGTGAGCAAATGAAGAGGCACAAGCTCTCCCCCGTTACCCATAGCACTTGTAAGTGTGTATGTAGGCAGGGGAGGGGGGTGCTTGAGTGTTGGGGCTACACTCACCACAAGAGCAGCAGACAAAGCACTGGGTGTGGTAGAGGCTGTCCAGGGCCTGGCAGGCATTGCTCTGCCCATAGATGCCTTTGTTGCACTTGATACAGGTGCCTGATAAGAGAAAAGAGTGTCACACTGTACTCCCCTAGATCAAAACCAGGGATTCCCAAGCTTTCCTCACTATTCTTTCCTGATATGCCAGGGGTCACAATTTCCCTTTGATGGGCCCCCTTCTGAGAAGAGAAGATAACAGGTAATGGAATACAGCAAGATCTTGGCTGAGCAGATCCATTTTTGTTTAATTACTCAACAGATACAGCACCACTACCTGAGGAAACCTGGAGAAAGTCGAAGATATGGTCCCTGGCATTTAAATGCTTAGTTTCTATTGGGGAGACAAGACCACACAGGCAAGGTATGATCTCTGCTGCAGTGTGTGGGACGAATGGTCAGAAATGCGGGTCCACAGCAGACTTGAAAAAACTTTCTAAAGAAAGAAGGCTAGGCCCAAAAAGCCTCTCTGGGACTTCAGTTTTTCCCATCAGTCAGACAAGCTGCTGTTCAGTTACAGAATGATTTCTCTCTGCTGCAGACTTCCAAGGATGGAGCAAAGGACCTGGCTCAGCAGCGGGCTCTGTGCAGAGGGGAACCATGTGAGCATGACTCCTGTGGGGAGGTGGCTACTGAGAATGCAGGGTGTGTTCCAGGAACCAGTGTTGCACAGGAAAAGGGGGAGAGTGGCAAAGCCCCTGATACCTCCCAGCCACCTTCTATCATGGGAGGAGCACAGAACTGAACTGCTTGCGCTTCCCCAAAATCCCCCGCTAAGATACTTATACCTGGCTCTGGCACTCGCCTTTCCTGGGTGTGTTCTTCCCTCCCTCCACTCCCCAATTCCAGGTCCATGAGTGAGGGCTAGGGCCTGTCTTTGGGGAGCAGATCCCAACGGGCCAGCCCCACCTCTCCCCCTCGGCAGGCTGCCACACTCCCTGCCTGTTGGGGCCCATCCCAGTCTTTGCCCAGGGGCTTGGGAGCCTGTGCAGCAGCTGCAGCAACTGATGGGCCCAGGCCTGTCCTGCTCCCACCCTCTGGCAGCTGGGCAAGGCTGAAGCCAAGGAAGAGGGCCCCTACTAGGGGCAGGAAAAGGAGGGTACAGTCAAGCTGGGGCTGGGGGACACAAGGGGTATGTTGGGGTTCTGTCAAAGGAGGCAACCTGACCCCCAGGGAGAAGGATCCTCCATCTCTGAATTCAAAATGTGGCTTCCTCATGGAAGTGAAGATATGCCCTAGATTGCCATGCCAGGGGGTCCTGTCAGAGCCATTCTTTGGGAAGCCTTGGACATTATGGGAAGACAAAACGAAGCTGCTGAGGCAATTCAGGTTCCCCTCCTCTAACCCAGCATATCTACACCTAGGTTCTTCCTGCCATTTTATTGCACTTTTTGAGTTCCTTTCTTCCTTTTGGCTCTAATGGTTCAGCCAAAAATACTTCTTTACTAGCCACCTCTCCTGGGCCTCAAAACGGCTAAATGGGGCCCAACATTCAGTCTTCCCTGATCAAAGTGGTTTAGCATCTTCTCCTCTGGACTTTCTTCTCAGGGTGGATTTGGAGGTGGGGAAGAGAATGGGGGTGGAGGTTGGGGGTAGAACTATGCAGCGCCCTTGTAGCCTGTAGCTCTGCTACCTCTGAACCTCCTACCCAACCATCCCTTCTGGCCGTGTTCCTCTCCCTATTCACTTTTCTAGCCACAGAGTTCTACAGCATGGGGTCCAGGAGTGGGGGCATGGGTGGTGAGAAGAGACGCTTGGAAAAGTGAAAGAGGCCCACAGCCCTTAGGGGGTAAGCCTGCCACTTTTTCTAATCACAATCAGATTAGAAGTTTTTTTTGTGTGTAGTACTGCCTGTGAATTTTGGCTAAAAGATCTTTCAAGACCCTAATGTTCTTCATAGCTAAGACATATACTCAATCAACACTTCATGAACAGAGTAGGGGAGGGAGACAGCGACCTGGTTTTCTTAACAGTAGCAGGAAGTAAAGCGCTACTTCCAGCCTGAATTCTGAGAGGTTATGGCCAGAATTCGAGGCCAGGTTATTTCTGGCAGTAACACAGGATCGTTATCCATCCAGAGGTAATGGTGTCCCAGTAGTCATGGCTTTTGCCATGACTTCGGAGGATAGGGGAAATAGAGGCTGGTACTACTGGGTCTCTGATTAAATGCCCACACACGCACCTAGCCAACAGGACTGGGGAGGGACAGCAGTTGGGTCCCTGATTTCTGTTCCAGGGCACTCGCTCCATCCTGCCTCCCAGCCTCCATTTCCGCGACAGCCGCCACTACTCCGCGAGTGCAATGGAGCACCCCCCCATCCCCGAACCCCACCCCTCCGCCACACAGCTGCGGCCGCCCCGCCCGCGGGCACCTGGAGCGGCCGGGCAGGAGTCGGCACGCACGCGGCCAGCCTGCCCCGCCCCCCCACCCGCGCATTCTCTGAATTCCTGCGGGCGGAGCCTGGGCCTGGGTGGGGGCGCGGCGCGCACAAACCTCCAGGGGCACCGCAGTGAAGGGGGAAGAAAGATGGGGGGGGAATGCGCCCTCACTGCCCCACTTGGTCCCCTCCCTAAGAGGTCTCTTGCCGCAAAAAACCGAGGCTCCAGTGTTTGAGAAACGGACTCACGAGATTCCAGGAGGGTTGAATTTAGCAGAAATAAGGAGCCCTGGCTCATTTGAAACCCAGCAGGAAGGGGTCAGTGCTCTGGGGCCGCCCCCATCCCTCCCTCTACTTTCTTTTGTAGTCCCGTGTCTCCACCTTGGACCTGGGGAACCCCGGTACACCGGCACTTTGGGCCGTCGGGACAGAGGAGAACGCAATGTGATGACAGGTCCCTTCGTGTCCCTAACCACTTCTCCCACTCACCGAAGTAGTCCTCCCTGGTCTCCGGCTCCCGCATCCGGGCCCGGGCGGCCTCCGGAACGAAAGGACCTGGCGGCTCCTCGAGACCCGACGGCTCAATACTCGAGGGTTCCCCGCGGGCGCCGCCGGCTTCTCGTCCACCAGTGCCCACCGTCAGGCGAAGCAACGCTGTAAGCTCGTCCTGGTACCGGGCGCCTGCGGCGCAGTCCCCGTAGCCGGTCACAGAGTGTCGTCCGGGTTGCGCCCCTCGTCTCTCCAAGGGCCCCGCTGCTCCCACTCCAGCCCCGGCTAGAGCTCCAGGGCTGCCCAGAGCCGGGGGATACGAGTGGCGGCTTTCCTGGCAGCCGAACCCCGTGGGCCGCTGAGCGTACAATCGGTCCAGAGCGGCGTGGAGCTCCGGGTAGGCGGACGGGACTCCTCCGGGAGAATAGCCTGCTGGTGCTCCAACCACGGGTGGGCCAAAAAGGCACGGCCCCGCGGGCAAGGGGCTCCCGTGGCGCTGGTCGTAGCCCATGCTGATGCCGCTGGTGCGATTGCTGCAGGGCCGGCTCCCTCCAGCTCCGCCAGCCCCCGCCCCGTCCAGCAGCAGGCTGCCCCGGGGGCTGGACGGCTTGCTAGCGTCGCTGGCCGAGCTACTGGCAAAGCTGGAGCGGGGGCTTAAGGCCGGGGCCGCGGGCTCCAGCCGAAAATCGGGGGACAATGACTGAGGTAGAGGCAAGGCCCGGGTGGGTGGCGGCCCCCCAGGAAAGGAACCTTCGTAGCGCGGTGCCTCAAAGGAGCCGCGCTGATTTCGCTCAGCGTCCAGGGAACCTTGCTCCCGGGCCGGCTCCAACGACTCATCCCCAGGTCCCCCAGTAGCTCCTCGGGGCCCTGACTTCCTAGGTCCCCCCAACCCACTTAGGCGCCCCTTGCCCGGCCCGGGGGTGCCGTCGGACCCAGACCTGCTAGATTCGCCCTTTCTGCGGCCGAACTTCTCCAGCAGGCGACTGGCTTTCTCTCCTAACCGCTCCATGCCCTCGGGCCTGGGGCCTCTCGTCCCTTCCCCGCCCAGCACCCTGCAGCGTCTCTGCGGCCGATTCTCTTTCCGTGCAGCCGGACTCTGGATCCCCAGGGGGACAGGGGAGGCACAGGGGCTTAGCTGGCGGCCCGGATGCCCGGCGCCAGGAATCGCACAGCATCCCCCAGCGGGAGGGGCTGCGTCCCCCCACGCATCTGTGGGTGAGAGGGGCTGGCAGGGCCTCCGGCCGCGGCTGTCCGGTCCGCAGGTCTATCTGTTCACGCGTCGACTCGCCCAACTGCCCCACTCTCCCCGGCCCCCGCCCCCCTCACTCTCACGCTCGCCGCAAACCGAACTTGTGTCCCAAACTTTTGTCTGCCTGGCCGGATCTACTTTCCTGGGAGGGCGGAGCGCTGTGTGTGCGCGAGCGCCGGGGGTGTCTGCGCAGGGATCGTTGGTGTGTGCAGAAGGGGCGCTGGCGCTAACTGCCCTGGATGTGGAGGCCCGCGGACTGGACGTGAGAGGCGGGCAGGGGCAGTTGTGGCAGGTGCTCCTACAACACTCAAGAATTGGAACAGGAAAGAGTGTGGGGGGGAGGGGTCGGGGACTCTTTGTCTGCAGTTGGAATGCGCGGAGGGGCATGGTGGAACGTCGCGGTCCAGGACCGGACGATCGGAGGCATGTTCTGCGCTAGCACCGTGACTTTGTTCCCAGCCTGGGGACTGTGGGAGAGATGGAGAGAGACTGGCACAGAAATGGTGAGACAAGGAGAAAGCCATATAGAGGAAGACAGAAGAAGGCAGATGCATAAAGAGGTTCAGAGACGTGTACATAAAGACTGCCCTGAAAGACAACCACGAAGCCCACAGAGGTGGAAGACAGGTAGCGAAAGGAAGAGCTGGGGAGCAAAGGCGAGTGTGGACGATGCAGAGACCGAAGGGTGCGCAGACAAAGGAAAAGACATGCTTGTGGTGAAACCCTGTCTCTATGAAAAAACATATTTTATAAATTAAAAAAAAAAAAAAAGACAAGCTTGTCCAGAGAGAATGAGAGCCAAAGAGAGAAACTGCAATAAAAAACTTTTGTGGACTCAAAAAGTTTTGTGATGGAGAAATTTTGCGTTTGTAAAAGCAGTGAAAAGGAGTGAGGAAAATGGGACTAATTTCTACCTTGAGAAGGAGGGAAAGAGATCTAGTGCAGAAGCAGTGAAAACGGGTGAGGAAAAGGTTTAGGACTAATCTCTACCTAAGGGTAGGATAGTTAGAGGGATAGACAGACACCCCCTGGTGTTTGGAAATGAGATTTTTAGCAAACGTTTCAGATGACTATGGAGATCCAAGGCCTGGTTTTAGGGCTAGCGAACACCTTGCCCCGTTGGTTGGTCCACTGAAAACTGGTGATACAGAGTATTAACTTGAGAGAAGGCAAAGAAAGGCCATGTAGAGGAAATTGCAAGTGAAAATGATCAGGATGGAAAAAAGGCTAATAACTATTTTAGAAGGATCAAGAATAAGGTAAAGAAACCCTTGTTGAGGTGGCCGGGCGTGGTGGCTCACGCCTGTAATACCAGCACTGTGGGAGGCCGAGGTGGGCGGATCATGAGGTCAGGAGTTCAAGACCAGCCTGACCAACATAGTGAAACCCTGTCTCTACTAAAAATACAAAAATTAGCCAGGCGTAGGGGTACACGCCTGTAGTCCCAGCTACTTGAGAGGCTGAGGCAGAAGAATCGCCTGAACCCGGGAGGCGGAAGTTGCAGTGAGCCGAGATCCCGCCACGGCGCTAGAGCGAGACTCCGTCCCCACGCTCCCCCGCAAAAAAGAATCACTTACTTGAACTCGGGAGGCGGAGGTTGCAGTGAGCCGAAATCGGGACACTGCACTCCAGTCTGGGTGACAGAGTGAGATTTCGTCTAAAAATAAAAAACAAAACAAAAAAACCAGCCAACTAATTTTGCCCAGACTAGAACATCAGGGACAAGGGGCGGAATAAGTAGAATGGAGAAGGAAATGACTCCTTGGTATTTAGATATTAAATGAGTATGAAGATTATATGCAAACAAGTAATGCATATTATTTTCATCTCAACATTTTGAACACCTTTTATAATCTTAGAGTAGCCTTAGGGAATGTGGAAGGAGAGGAGGTTAATATCTTTTGGGAAATTAATTTGGCACAAACTATTTGGCTTCTTTGTCCTAGCTGCATTGTCTCCCTGACCTCATCTCTCCTGAGAATCAGCCTCTCTCTGTTTCCCTGGTCAAGACCATAGCTTTTCTAGGATCCTGAGGAGAGTTTCCTACCAGACTGGAAGCAGGGAGGACTCAAAGAACTAGTAACAGAGGGGAGCTATCAGATTGCATCTAGAACCTGATGTGAGTAACATCTTCAGAATTAACCGTAATGTTTTCCCTCCTTTCCTGTGTTCAGATGGGAAAGGAGAACCTAGATTCTTCCTTCCAATTAGATCCAAAATATCCACACGACTAGTAATATTTGGAAGCTTTGATCCTTTGGGGTGAGGATGGGAGAGTAAATCTTAAGAAACGTTGAGAAAAGCCGGGCGCGGTGGCTCACGCCTGTAATCCCAGCACTTTGGGAGGCCGAGGCAGGTGGATCACGAGGTCAAGAGATCGAGACCATCCTGGTCAACGTGGCGAAACCCCATCTCCACTAAAACTACAAAAAATTAGCTGGGCATGGTGGCGCGTGCCTGTAGTCCCAGCTACTCAGGAGG